CTAAGAAATGACTTTTAAATAATGGTCATGCATGTACATCATCTTATCAGTAAAAASTCAAAAATGTAAATGAAAATCTTAAGGATTCGCTGTACTTTCTTTGAATAGTTATTCCCTTGCAATTTGTCGTTTGTTTGAACACAATAATGTAAAACAACTAAACCGACTTAGCAACAAAATGTACATAGGTGTTATTGTAAATAATATAAAATAAAATTGATTATCACCATCGAACTGAACTTACTTTTTTTTGACTTTTTTTATTACTTAAAAGTACGGGTACTTAAAAGTACGGGATTCTAGTGCGGAAATATAAAGGCCGATGATGCAAGTGTTGCCATGGGGAACACAGTTCAACTGCGTTGTATCTATCACTCCTTCTGATAAATTCTTTATCGAGACGAGAAACCTTACTAAGCTGCATTTTTAGTTTTGGTTATTTTCATTCACTGTTCATTAAGTACCCAACAAAACAAAAGAGTTGAAAAACATGTTTGAACTTCGTCTTTAATGACCTTTTCAATTTCAAATTTGAAACTGAAAAGGTCACTAAAGACTTGACTTTTTTTTCGAATATGTTGTTTTGTCGGGTACATAAACAGATGGGCAGTGAATGGAAATTGCCAAGTACCAAAAAGTATCGTTACTTCCGTCGCCTCTGCGCAGTAGAGATCATAAGCTCCGGGCTAGCGAGCTGTGTGAAGTGGTGATAGGCTGATCTCGTAGTTCGTGTTCAAAGACCAGGAAAATTATTCGCCGACATTTCGTCGTGTATAACGTGTAATTTTGTAAATCAAAGAATTCCGAAAAACATGTGTCGTGTTAACTTCGGTAGAATTTGACACGAAATGTTGCAAAACGAGTTATTCATAAATCTATGTCCTTATGTCCTTATGTATTACTATATCTTGATCAAGTTTATAAGTTTTAAAGATTTTTCCGGTTGCCTTTAAAAGATCTTATCGCCTTTTTGAAATATTTCTTATATCGTTACTAATAAAGACTTTTTCTATTTTCATCACCTGCCGCAGTAACGCCACCATGAAATATTAATAATATTAACAAGTGCTCTTTGCATGTCAATTTTTTACTACAAAATCGACATTTTGATGATTTCAAGATATCCTGTCTATACACTGCTAATATATTGCCTGTGCCAGATTGTCTAGTATTTCACTACAATTTTTTTGAATTAGAAAAATGAAGAAATGGGATAACAAGTGCACACTGAAAAGTTTGGGTTTGAAGAGTAGGTTCATCATATCCATCAAAAACTTTGTAAGAAATGTCAAACAACTAATTATCAATGTTTGCCTCAAAAATGAAGATTTCATGGTGACTGTACACTGATCTAGCRTCTGTTTTGGCATTAAAAATACCTTCACTTTAATTACTTATATCATTCTCAGAAAGGTGAACATATATCGAATTTGATAATGTTCGTTCGTTTGCACAATAAGGTCAGAATATATTAATATAAATTCATAAAAAGAATAGGGTGCATATGACGTCTTATAACCATTACAGCTGTCTCATATATTYCACATAAATTTATATAAATCATTATGACGGACAGATATGTACTCCATATCATTCTAGCTGCTTAAAATCAACGATATTGATCCATAATGTGGGCTATAATATKCGTTTTCTCGCTGGAAGCAGCCGTTACAGTGGCAGCAAATTTTGCGACCATGATAATATTTGCTACAACACGTCGTCTTCGAAGCAAACAGTACATTATGATTATCAGCCAGGCTGTAGCTGATCTCTTCGTTGGTCTTGTGTCTGTTCCAATGTTTACTGTCAGAACGGTTAACAAAGACATACTCTTTTTACCTCTATATACACAAATCTATCATATTGAAGATGGCTTCTTTGCAGCAGCTTCCTTATTTGGTTTGGCAGCGTTGGCCATTGAACGAGCACATGCAACATACTTTCCATTCAGACACTCCACATTAGGTAAAGKACCGTACATCATCGGGATAGTTTTGATGTGGACTACTCCATTGATCGTGATCAGTCCAAATATACAAATTTATCAGTTCATTGATAAAAGAACTGCCATCGCTATAAAAAATGCATTTTTCTRGGTAGCCCTGGTAATCATTTCTGGTGCTTATTCGTTTATTGCTCTAAAARTCCGCTGYCGAACCACTCAAGCTCATGATGTAACCATYMAAGAAAACAAGAAACTRACTSTCACTCTTGCTGTTGTAACTGTACTAAGTCTGGTCATGTGGCTGCCCTACCAATGTCTTTTACTGGATAATGCACGCTTTTCTCCTTTCACTTATTATCCTGCAAAATTCCTTCATTATGGCAATTCCCTCGTTAATTCTGTTGTGTACGCGTTTCGTATGCGTGAAATAAAAAGAGAAATCCTGCGTTTATTCCAGTGCTGCCGCAGAAATCAAATCTCAACAAGACAGGAAAGACAACTTGAAAACATTGGAAAAGTCAGCGTTTACAACGAAAACGAACTTAGGGGTAGATGCAAAGAATAAAAAATCTTCATAATTGTTGAACACGCGAGAAAGAAATACTCACTGTATCACCCTATAATGATTCACAGTATTATTTCTTTATAGATCCATCTCTAGGAGGAACTCTTCTTAGGAGGACAATATCTCTTGTTAGGGAGATATGAAATTGAATCTTTTTCTGACTTGCTAGAGGACTAGATTTTGATTCACACCCTATAAAATAGGGTGTCAGTATAGTCTACTTCCCTAGAGGGTCCTAAGGTATATTGCTCCAATGTTGTTCTTCCACTGCTGGTACAACACCCTGATATTCAATCTGGTTTCACTTCAAGACATTTGATTGGTTAGTGTTATAAATTCCACCTTTATTTCTAAGAAATACTGCATCTGTGCTTTCTAGAATGAAATCKGTAGTGTTTCGAAATTCGTGCAGTGTTTGTAGTTGTGCGATTTTTCAAGTAGCTGAAACAAGCCGTCGGTAGATCGAGGTTCCACCATGTAGGCGATTGATCAACAAGTCTGTATCAGTTTGTCGGCGTGTTTTAAATTTCTTATTGGAATRATGCCGATAAGCAATTCATAAAATCTTTTTGATTTGCTTTAGCTTTAGCTTTATTGACTTTGTATTATTATTTTGAAGCCAGGATTTAGAGAGCAATTTGTTGGTTTTTATAATCTTGACTATTTGCCAAACAGCTTGCAATTTTCTTTTTCAAAGTTCAACCATATCCAATAAGAAAACTTTCAAAATCATTCATGATCAATTACGGCTTGATTATCACGCCCTTATCTTACAGCTTATTAAAGTTTCCTAGAATMATTTTCAGATGAATGTAAGCCGGTGATATATTGATGTGCAATGTGGACCTTTGCACGGATATTCGTACTGGAAGCAGTCGCCATYACAGCAGCCAATGCTGCAACAATCGTCATCTTCACCAGAACACGCCGTCTWCACAGTAAACAGTACATTTATGTCCTCTGTGTCTGTCATAACTATGTCCTGAACAAGTTGATTTGATAGATTTTTACCGTTGCCTAGTTAAAAGATCGTTTGCTTGTCGTATTTTTGGAATTCTATCGGTTACTTTTTCTATTGGCGTATTGCATCAYCACCAGGCCGCAGTCACCATAAAACATTAATTCTTAATTAAGGAATGAGATATTAACTTAAATGCAATTGGTTGCTCAATTGGTTGCTCAATAATTGTTTCAATAAAGATTACTTTAAGATTTTAATGACTCAAAAAGAGCTGTCCAGATACGATCGACAGAACACAATTGTTTTATAAAGATGTCACATACKTTTTATATTTTTTATGTTTGTAGGATTTGAAATGAAGTGTTTTTGACATCAAATATATTAAAAGGTGCACTCTGCGATTTCAAGATGTCAGTTCGGTACAGAGCTAATATATTCCTGGTGTCGGTTTCGTCTAGTTTTTAACAATTTCTATGCATCACAAAATGAAGAAATGAGGTTACAAAGTGCAAGAAATGTTGGGATGAAGAGTACGTTAGTTTAAGGTTACTAGTCGATGAGACCTCAWACTAATATACAGCTAGTAATCCAATGGATGCTGCCAAGTGCTCAGGAACTATGTATAGATGTATCCGTCAAATACTTTGTTCAAGTAATTTTAAATAACTAATGGTTAAGACTAGATATTTTGGTTCACAACTGACCAGATTTCATAGACCTTCMCCTTAATTGCTGCATGTATATTATTCTAAGCAAGGTGGGCATATATCCACAAAACGCATACTAAATGGCTACAAATTGACAATTTAATGTTCGTATGTTTGCACAATAAAGTCAGATTATATATTCATTAAATACGTATGGTGTAGCAATTGGATCCTGACCAATTATAGGTGCGTATATGTGACATCTTATAACCATTACAGCTGTCTCTATATATTCCACATAAATTTATATAAATCATTATGACGGACAGATATGTACTCCATATCATTCTAGCTGCTTAAAATCAACGATATTGATCCATAATGTGGGCTATAATATGCGTTTTCTCGCTGGAAGCAGCCGTTACAGTGGCAGCAAATTTTGCTACCATGATAATATTTGCAACAACACCCCGTCTTCGAAGCAAACAGTACATTATGATCATCAGCCAGGCTKTAGCTGATCTCTTCGTTGGTCTTGTGTCTGTTCCAATGTTTACTGTCAGAACKGTTAACAAAGACATACTCTTTTYAYCTCTATATACACAAATCTATCATATTGAAGATGGCTTCTTTGCAGCAGCTTCCTTATTTGGTTTGGCAGCGTTGGCCATTGAACGAGCACATGCAACATACTTTCCATTCAGACACTCYACATTAGGTAAAGGCCCGTACATCATCGGGATAGTTTTGATGTGGACTACTCCATTGATCGTGATCAGTCCAAATATACTGTCCATTGATAAAAGAACTGCCATCGCTATAAAAAATGCATTTTTCTGGATAAACCTTGTAGTCATTTCTGGTGCTTACTCGCTTATCGTTCTAAAAGTCCGTTGCACAATCACTCAAGCTCATGATGTAAYCATCCAAGAAAACAAGAAACTGACTGTCACTCTTGCTGTTGTAACTGTACTAAGTCTAAGCATGTGGCTGCCCTACCAATGTTTCTTACTGCTTAATGCACGCTTTTCTCCTTTCACTTATTATCCTGCAAAATTCCTTCATTATGGCAACTCCCTCGTTAATTCTGTCGTCTATGCGTTTCGCATGCGTGAAATAAAAAGAGAAATCCTGCGTTTATTCCAGTGCTGCCGCAGAAMTCAAATCTCAAGAAGACAGGAACGACAGCTTGAAAACATTGGAAAAGCCAACGTAAACAACGAAAACGAACTTAGGGGTAGAAGAAGAGTGAGAAATCTTCATAATTGCCAACACGAGAAAGAAGTACTGATGTATTGACCTGCATGCATGTATCATTTCCCTGTAGATTCACAGTAATATCGAGTAGTTTTTAGTGTAGTTTTTACTTTATTTCATGTAGAAGTTAAATCATCTAAAAATGAAGAACGTTGTAAGAGAGTATAACCTCTTCGAAAACTTTTCTTAGGAGGACTACACCTCTTGTTAGAGAGATGTGAAATTGACTCTTTTTCTGATTTGCAAGAGGACTAGGTTTTGTTTAACATCTTGTCAGTCCATGTCCTTGTTGTTCCGTCCACAGGTGAGTCAGCAAATTATCATAATTACTATCGGCATATGTCCACTATAGTCCAGATTTGAAGAAATTCCTGTTGAGCATCGAACAATAATAGCTATTTAATGACCAAAATTGACACTAGAAACTGACGTCATTGAGACGTTAAGTGTCTACTCACAACTGAGATATGCTGTACCATGAAACTTAGTAACTGGCTGGTTGTAAAAAGCGCCATAAAATAAGAATCTTTAGAAGTACAGACACTTAGATCAGTGTCAAAAATGTTYTGAGTTCATTGTATCTTATCCAAATCATAAGTTGCATCATTTGCTTCATCCGAAGAAAATGTATTTGTCCTTACAATCTCAGAAGACCACGCAAGTTTGAAAATCAGCTAAAATCCAGTTATTAGTACCAGTACTAAGCGTTTTTYAACAATTTTATGACATTTATGTGTATGTTTTAGGTGTTCATGCAAATAATATATAAGTGTTTCGAAATTCTTGCAGTGTTTGTAGTTGTGCGATTTTCAAATTTAATAGCTGAGACAAGCCGTCGGTAAGATGGAGGTGTACCTGTAGGCGCTACAAGTCTGTATCAGTTTATCAGCGTACTTGAAATTTAATTCTTATGTTAAAGTGAATATGACACGATTTTTTTTATTTGAAAAATAGAGTCAATAGAACAAGCATAACAGGTTGGCTAATTACGACTTGATGCAGGGCTTCAAATTTCAGAGAAAATCGGAGTTAAAAATCCATTATGCTAATTTGATGACGTCAATGTGGTTGCTCTAAAACATTTCAACTGTGTTTTGTAACAAGTGTTCCTAATATACCCATGTCAAACTTTGAAAGATTGTTTTTGATTACATAACAAATATCTTCTACAAAACAATAAGGTGTGACAATAAACAATCGGACAATTTTGTATAATTAATGAGTTACACTTTGACGTCATCAAATTAGCATAAAATCCATTTTTCTCTGAAATTAGAAGCCTGCATCCAGTGGCACTTTACAGAACTATTATTTTCTTCATATTGATTTTATTTTCAAAACAAAAAAAATCATGTCATATGCACTTTAATAGTGCCGATAAGCAATTCATAAAATATTTTACATTTGCTTTAGCTTAATCTTGTTGACTTTGAATCRWTATTTTAAGCCATGATTTGGTGAGCAATCTGTTTGCCACACACAGGTGCAATTTTCTTTAAAGTTCACGCATGTCCAGTAAGAAAATTTAATCATTCATGATCAATTTTAATTTTAAAATTKTAATTTTAATTTTAAAAGGCTTAATTATCACGCGCTTAATCTTACAGCTTATTACAGTTTCCTAGAATCATTTTCAGATCGATGTAAACCGGTTTTATATTGATGTGTAATGTGGCCCTTTGCGTGGCTATATTCATACTGGAAGCAGTCGCAATTACAGCAGCCAATGCAATAACAATCGTCATCTTCACCAGAACACGCCGTCTTCACAGCACACAGTACATTTTGATTATCAGCCAAGCGMTAGCGGATCTATTCATTGGTCTTGTGTGTCTGTCCCAGTGTTTTTTGTACACAAGGGCGAGTCATCTTCGTTTAAACAACTTTATTTTACAGAAGATACTTTCTTTGGAACGGCTTCATTACTTGGTTTGGCAGCGTTGGCCATTGAACGAGCACATGCAACATACTTCCCATTTAGACACTCCACATTAGGTAAAGGATCGTACATCATCGGGATTGTTTTAACGTGGCTACCTTCATTCATCGTGGCTGCTCCATTAATATTATTTCCCGAAAAGTASGATCRACGGARSATTGAAAATAGCATCTGTTGGGGTCATACTTGTAATTATTTCTGGTGCCTATTTGCTAATTGTCTTGAAAGTCCGTTGCGGCCCAACTATCCAATCTCGYGATATAAATATTCAACAAAATAAGAAACTGACTGTTACTCTTGCTGTTGTTACCGTTCTCAGCTTGGTCACTTGGTTGCCCTACCAATGCTTTGTGATTATTTTTTATAACGGGAAGACAAGCCCCAAAACACCCTCTTTTTACATTCCTGTTAAGTTTCTCCATTACGGCAACTCTCTCGTCAATTCTATTGCCTACGCGTTTCGTATGCGTGAAATAAAAACAGAACTCTTGAACTTATTCCAGTGTTTTCGCAATAATCAAATCTCAGCAAGAAACGATAGAGGCATTTAAAGTGAATGCGAGGTGTATATACGGGCTTGACTTTTTGCCACACAGCCTGCAAACAGCTTTTCAATAAAAACCGAAATCATTTATGGTATAATTATAATTATGTCCTTATAATCCAAATTTCTCGGATCAGAATTCACATACTTACCGACCTGTGGGCCATCGATGTGCAATGCAGATCTTTGGATGGGCATTCATCTTGGAAGCAGTCGCCATTACAGCCGTCAATGCTGCAACCATCGTCATATTCACCAGGACGAACCGTCTTCACAGCAAACAGTACATTATGATTATCAGCCAGGCTGTAGCTGATCTCTTTGTTGGTCTAGTGGCTATTCCAGTGTTTGGTGTTTCACTTGCACTAAACGAAGATCCACGCACCTCTTCGACGTTTAAACAAGTGTTTCTTACGACAGATAGTCTGTTTGTAGTAGCTTCCATGGTTGGTTTGGCAGCGTTGGCCATTGAACGAGCACATGCAACATACTTTCCATTCAGACACTCCACATTATCTAAAGGACCGTACATCATCGGGATAATTTTGATGTGGGCAGCTCCAATCTCCGTGGCTGTTCTATATACCATTTTCGACCCGCCAGATGCAGTAAACAGCAAACTTGCAGTTACTGTTCTTGCAGTTGTAATAATTGTTTCAGCTTATTCTCTCATCGTTTTCAAAGTCCGCTACCGAACCACTCAAGCCCATGATGTAACCATCCAAGAAAACAAGAAACTGACTGTCACTCTTGCTGTTGTAACTACACTAAGTCTGGTCATGTGGCTGCCCTTCCAATGCCTGGGAATGGCTGGTGTCCTCAAAGGTTCTTCTCCTTTCATCTACTTTCCTGCGAAATTTCTCCAATATGGCAACTCGCTCGTTAATTCCGTTGTCTACGCKTTTCGTATGCGTGAAATAAAAAGAGAAATCTTGCGTACATTCCTGTGCTGTCGAAACAATCAAATCTCGATAAATAACGAAACACTGCCTTAGTTGAGACGATAGAAATGAGTTGGAAATGATTTAGTATCATATGGAAACAGACAAAGAAACATTTTGGCTTTTTGACGTACAGCAGTCATAGAAATGTCTTTGTTTTGACTTTTTTGGATTTACCAAAAAAAACCTTCAAGAATCTAATTGTGCTTCTAATTGTCTTCCTGTTTAAAGAGGTGACTTTTAAAACGAAGGTTGTACACATATCCGGGAAAATGTATCTTCATTTATAATATAAATAGCGATCAAACACAAACGCTTTCCACTAGTTGTTTCATACAATGATAAGAMGCCATAGTACAATGATAAGAAGATCAGATGTTCAGTGACCAAATAATCAGGCATGGCTCGGTTTTCTCCAAATTTTAGTGATGGCAAGTCGTGAATTCAGCTGTTGGTCTGACCTGTCACTCGGGTAACAAACGCTTTATATGATAGACAGCTAATATACATCGCCAGGAAAAGTAAAACCATAGCCGACTATTATTGCAAATAAAAAAGATTCACTTGTAAATGATGAAGATTGTACAAATATTGTAAAACAGTGTAAAAAAATCTGAGATTTAATTAAAGCCAATGTACAAATGTAGCTTTCAAAGTATGACATTTTTTTGACTAAAACAGAATTGTCAAAAAAGTAAGGAATCACTTAGCTTCGTCATCGATTTTCCCCTATCTGGTAATAAGGGTTTGTAGAGCTTACAAAAATAATTAGTTTCCCAACTAATCATGAAATTGAATTTCATCCGTGGTGATTTTAGATATCATTTGGCCTTTAATTGTCTACGATATATATCAACCCTGGCAATCTGTTTTCGTATAATTGTTCTGTCTTGATATATTTTCTTGACGATTAAAAGTAGCCGCTTTTAATAAGGTTGCAAGGTGCAAGTCTTTCAAGGCTTTTATCAAGGAAAAAGGTTAAGTATATCTTATCTATAATACTAGAAATTCATCAAATCCAAATGTTAAAAATCTTCATTCTAAAGGTACACCTAATTCAARTAGGCCAGTTTCGTTGAGCATATTGTCAAAAACAAAATGAGCATTTGTAATTACTGAGTGAAAAGCGCGAACACATTTAAGCTACAGADATCAAATAACTTCTCTCATCGAAGACTCAAGGAAAAATATCTCATTGACTTTTTAAAAACAGAAARCAGWTTGTTTTAATAATTATCATTTCTGTTTCCATCAGAAGATCAATCGACACAATGCGTTTGATCTCTTGGCTGTTTGTTCTAGAGGCCGTCGTCATAGCAGCAGGCAACGTCATCATCATCGTGATATTCACAACTACTCCTCGTCTGCGACGTCGACAGTACGTGCTTTTGATCAGTCTTGCAGTGGCTGATCTGTTTGTTGGAATATTGTCCGCCCCTATGCATATTGTGTTTGAAGAAAGGCGAATTCCTGGTGTAATTCCAAGAGAATATTTTAGTTTGATTTATCTGGTGATAGACTCATTGTTCGCAGCCGCATCTCTTCTGAGTTTAGTAGCTCTTGCTGTTGAACGAGCTTACGCCACATACCGTCCATTTAGCTATCGTTTACTCGGCAAAATACCGTACATTGTCGGGWKTGCTAGTGTCTGGGGATTAGCTATTACCCATGGGTTGTTAAGCATGTTGATAACCATTAACGTTAAAAGTTACATAGTTACCAAAGCCACAACTATATCATTGTRTTTAACAGCTATTTGTACTGCATACTTTCTTGTCCTTTTCAAATTGCGTTACATGGCTGTCACTCCACAGCAAGCTACTTCTCCACGAAACAAAAAACTCTCCCAAACAATTGCCATTGTTACTGCGGTCAGCCTGATCACGTGGGTACCATACCAACTTGCCCTGAGTTTTCAGGTCTCTGGATCCCGATTGTCACCCGTTCGATGGAAAATACGTAGCATCTTAAAAGCCCTTCATTATGCAAACTCCCTCGTCAATTTTTTTGTGTACGCATTCCGGATGCAGGAATTCAGAAGACAACTGGCGAGCATGCGCAGAATTATCTATTTTTATCAAAACAACAGGGTCGCTACAAACAGAGACTCATCTGTTGGAAGTAGAGAAGTTGGTATTGTCCAACACAACGCTGGATCAGCAAACGTAGTATGTCCCCATGTTTAGAATGGACTGAGTCAACATGGGGAATATTTAACATATGTTAGTTTTACAACGCGAATATAATTCAAATTAAAATGTTTATACATTGGGCAATTGCCACGACTGACTCTATGAACTCTACCAACATGGCTTCCTGCATTTCCTACTTTTACTAGAACAGCTTCCTCGTTTTGTTTGGGAACTTTTTGGCACTAAGAGCACTTGTCGCTATGCCGAGTTAACATTCTAAAATTAGTCTACAGCTGGTGCTGTTGATGTTTTTGGGAGAAATCAAAATCTTAGCTATCAATGCAAATCTAAAGTTTTAATTTCATTGCAATTAGAGATTAAAACGTCGTAAAAGTAAATAGATGTGAAACAATACACATTGCTGGTAATCATTTTCATCAAATTGGATGTGCATTATTGCTCAAATTAAAAGCTTATAGCTTATTTCTTGTCTATTCTTATTTTACTTGTCTTTATATATATCCAAGAAAACGAAAGATAAATGCAATAATAAAGGCATTGATAATAGAAATCTAAATTTCAAGCTTATTTTCTTTTTCATTTATGATATATCCAGTGCACCCACCATCTGGTTTCTGCGCAAGTAAAAACARCGACATTAATGACAATATTTTCTCTATATATTGTGAGTTAATTTTCCCTATAAAACCATCAATCTGTCATTTATCAGCCCTTTTAGTATGATTAATTTTCTGACTGCAAGACTTAAAAGTAGCCAACCAGCCCAACAGTTCTACAGTACACCTGTAGGTTTGTACCAAGCGCAGACCCGTCTGACTTTATCAAGATAGCAGGTATGTATATTTGTATCTCAATGATACTAAAGCGACCTTTGCGGGTAGGAATGCTTCGAATTGGGTAGTATTTCACATTCTRCTAATAAAATAAAAAATGTACGAGTTATACCACTTCAATAGATTACAAAAGTTAGAGACGACGGAATGAAATTACATGTAAGAYATAAAGATGAAATGTTGTTGAATGAACACAACTCCAACAAGTTCTCTGAATATGCAACGATCTACTGAAAACAAGTGATCATACAGCAACACTGAATACCTTCATAGAATTTTTTCGGCAATTTTAAATAACAATGAATAAAGTAATGGCTAACTTCTTTTTGGCATTGGCAGTTTTGATTCAAAGGWGATGCAAATAAAATAGGTGATTTTCAAAATTTTAGTCCCAGCAAAAATGAAATTACAATGAATTTCAATCGGCAAAACAGAATACATATAGCTTTATTATTCTCTTTGCATTGCAGTCTCCTCAGATCAAATATAAACATACGTGGAAGATCGACGTTGAATTGTGGTAATGTGGACCTTTGCATGGTTATTCATACTTGAGGCAGTCGCCATTACAGCAGCCAATGCTGCAACAATCGTCATATTCACCAGAACACGCCGTCTTCACAGYAAACAGTACATTATGATTATCARCCAGGCTGTAGCTGAYCTCTTYGTTGGTCTTGTGTSTGTTCCCATGTTCACTGCCTTGATGTTTRGGCAAGTTCATCCGGMTATTATTRGSMGGAYGATTGACGCCTTTTTTGGAATAGCTTCCCTATCTGGTTTGGCAGCGWTGGCCATTGAACGAGCACATGCAACATACTTTCCATTCAGACACTCCACATTAGGTAAAGGACCGTACATCATCGGGATAGTTTTGATGTGGTCAGTCCCAGTCTTGGTTGATGTGTTGCCAATRATTACCTCTTACAAGAACASTTTTAAAATCTTTACAGGAGTTCTCGGTTTCATACTTGTGATCATTACGGCTGCYTATTCKCTYATCRTTCTTAAAGTCCGTTGCGTCACAACCATTCAATCTCATGATGTRACCATCCAAGARAACAAGAAACTRACTGTCACTCTTGCTGTTGTAACTGCACTRAGTCTGGTSACGTGGCTRCCCYTYCAATGCCTGGCCRTAGCTGGTTTWSAAAATKYYTCCCTTTYCRTCWWCWATCYTGCSAAATTYCTCCAATATGGCAACTCYCTCGTTAATTCTRTTGTSTACGCGTTTCGYATGCGTGAAATAAAAAGAGAAATTCTGCGCGTATTCCTGTGCTGYCGCACCAATCATATATCACAAAACAACGAAAGCGAACTTGGGAACATGTGAACTTTGAGAAATTTTCACAGAACAAGAAATTTTTCAAATGTAAATAGAATTGTCTGTATATTGGGTCAGTGTGCAAATGTCTTTCAGCCACGATATAGATACAGGAACTCCATGATTCATGGTCAACGAATTGGTGATATCATGACTGTCCTTCCACGCGGTACCTTATTCAACTAACCTCCTAATTGTGATACTTCATTTAAACACCTTCCCCATGCTGTTTGGGAGTTCATTCAATTAGCAAAGACTTGCCTTGTTCTCAAGGGAATTAATAATGATTATATAATGAATAATATTCTTGTGCTGTCGAAAAACGCTATCAGTAGACTGCACAGTAGACTGTAAGGGCTAAAACCATAAAAACTTTATAGTAATCAAATAGTGCTTTATTGTAATAAACCTTGCGAACTTATTTGTTTTCTATTGTCTAATCTACTCTTTAATTAAGCGCGGTGGAGCTGAAAATATCCCCTTCGTTCGTCCCTAGCTCAAGGTCGAAAAGTTGCTTAATTCATCCAACTTAACTTGAAGTTAGCGCATGCGTATCACGCTATTCTCTGTTTTATTTACTAATCTAAGCGAACATCCGTTTATCAGCAAATAATAAAATGCAATAACGATAACAGAAAACTAGTCCAGTATATCAACTTATATCCGCCGCCAGCAACARGAAAGACATTCCTGYGCGYGAACATTGMGCCCCGTCGTTTTATTGAAACATYGAAAGAATTATTCTCTTCTTGGTTTACAAAAACAGCGAGGTTAGTACTGATATTGTTTAAAACAACATTTGTTTTCAACACGTCTTCTTTATAACTGACATACTGGTAGCAAAGACAATTATACCAGTCGGTAATTTTAAGCTTTTATTTGATTCAGTTGTGATTCCATATCATTAGTTACTAGTCCATCTTTGTGACAGAGGTTTCTTTTTACTATTGCTCATTCGATAGCAAACTCTTAATAGATAATTTCAAAAATATAAWGTTTTTGAATCTCGTATTAAAATTGTAAATGTATAATATTTTGTCAAAAGTCCCAAACGTAAAGAGTGATGAGTTTTCCAGGCAGGTGCGGCACATTTSCCATTACTCWAGGGAATTGCTTCTGGACTTCTAAAATTCATGTTGATAATTTTGTCTTTATCAACCATTCTACTACCACTGCTAACAGCATCTCCTTCATCTTCCTCAAGAGAAAAAAAGAAAAAGAAGAATGCTTATAGGTCTTTAATTTCTTTCTCTCCGCTGTCAGGGAAAATAACGAWATCCCGTGTTTATGTAGTACCAAGCTAGTATTACATTAAAAACAACGAAATAAGGGCAGAAAATATACCATATCGTTTGGCTAATGGATCTAAGAGCAGCATACAAATCAGTATGACAACAAGCTGTGTGTGAACAGGTTTTTAACTTTGAACAGACAAGGTGTTAAATTGACATTCACCGTCATGTTTAGATAAACATTGACAATATATGGTTAGATTTCACACAACAAGACCACTACAGTCGCAGAATGCTTCTAGTTGGATATTGAGTTTTCATTTTGTTGGTGGAGTCTACCTTTTACTAGGTCTGTCATCGAAGCAGTAAAGAACATTTCTGAAGRAGATCCAGGAATTCAAGAGCTTTTTTAAGGTCAAACGTCGCAGTTAATTACGTTTATCGTATACTTATCTAATATAAAGACCAAACAAGCTAATATCATGTAAGACGATGGTAGCAGTACYTCTCAATACGTCAAACTGTATTTGTTATTAGAGTATAGCATCAAAACGTATTCTTTTTATGACGTGAATTAAAAGGTCTAATGCAGTTCATTTTCCGCGAAATGTAAGTTTAAAAGCTGATGTTATACTAAAGGTTTTGCGAGAAGTTGCTGGACTAGTGATTAGCACCTTAATTCTGAACCATATTATGGACAAATTCCGGTCGTAAACAAAAAGATCCAAATTTTGTGATAAATAGTGATGTTCTCTCATTTCTATTCAGTTACAAAGATAACCGAGGGTGATGTGGTACTTTACGTGGCTGTTCGTATTGGAAGCACTTGCAATAGTCATCGGAAACGCAATCACAATTGTAATATTTACAAGATCTCCACGTCTGAAAAGACGTAAACACGCTTTAATTGTAAGCCTGTCTGTCGCAGATCTACTCGTGGGACTGGTATCAATACCTGTACATGTCAGCATGCAAACAGCTGTTCAAATATCACTCATACATCGTATTATATATCCAATACAAGACTCCATATTTGGAACAGCGTCCTTATTTGGTCTGACAGTTTTGGCAGTAGAGCGCGCATGCGCTACTTACTTTCCCATAAGRCACCGTACTATCAGYAACGTGCCTTATATTRTTGGTATAGCTGTCACATGGGTGCCTGCTATTGTCGTTTCTATTGTTTCATACTTTACCGATACGTTCACCGTGGTCAAGGGAGTYACAATTTCTGCAGCATTACTGACAATGGTTTCTTCTTATTTCCTTATATTTATTCATATTAATTGTAGACGAAACGGTGCAAATCTTGGAATTCATCGACGCAACAAGAAACTAACMATAACTCTTGCTATYGTGACCGTAAWAAGTTTATTAACATGGCTTCCATATCAAATAATYGTAGTTTATGTKTCGGTGTACTATTATCCAGMAACMTTTTCGTTTTATTTGTTGCGCAACGCAGCTAAATTYCTGCATTACAGTAATTCTCTTGCAAACATTGTAGTCTACGCGTTTCGAATGYGCGAGTTCAAAAGTGAAATTSTACGAGTCATTAAGTGTTGTASTAACAGCCAGGTTCATCCAAGCACTGGAGTAGAACTTAGAAACGTTGGACGAAGCGTYAATAATGACTCTACTGGAAGAACAACAGAATTGTACGCGCARGGCTCGTCGAATCGYYAACGATAAATCCGAAAAAGATTGAACAAGACCGWGAGCAGAGGCGAGGGCCGKCTCACTCTGACCGTTATAAGCTTGWAAAATGCCCAAAAATTAACAGWATAGYTTGACAACAAATAAATGTTTRCCCTTGTATGAATTATAGTSAATTGGATGAAGATATMATGTAGTATACCTCATTGTATGGCGGCGATGACTTCGTTATTTCCCAGCTGTCTCCAGTTGTTGTTGCGACACCAAGACCAGGAAGAAACTATTTAAAAGAAGAGTAGTAAAAAACATTCGGTAAAAGTAATTTTTATCAATGAATTAGAAAAGTAGAGCAGAAGCTTTTTATACCTTTAGTACAGCGTTCATTTAGTGTGTGTTCAGGTATTCACACGTGTTTCAATGTTGAGTCCCGTCAAGACATCTTGCTGGCTGCACTCGCTTTAGAAAACACTAGAACCTGCACAGCCCATAAACTACTTATGTTAAGGATTTCAAGAGTTTTTTTACCGTGTTGTTCATCCAAATACTTATTTATAGTTGCAGTGTAATATCAGAATACTCCAATTTCGAGGTCTGGTTTGCTCATGTTAGCCTCAAAGTCAAGCTACATATTCATTGATGTCCCGAGAAAACGCATGGAATTTGTGAAGAAAGACAATAAATTTGATTTGAAATCTCACACTTCTTCTACGCTCACAATAAGGAATATTTTGCGCACAAATGAGGCTAACACAGAGCATCGGAGAATTCGAAACTGCAGTACTTTTGTCCAACCTGTGATTGGAAATGGACAGAAACGACAACCTCAGTAGACGGATGAGAGGCCGCCGGTCACATTCCATCGGGTAGATGAAATCACAACAAACGAGAACCACTTCGTGAAACACACCGTGTCCAGGTCACGTTAAGTGTACAGAATTCTGCCATGGAATATACATTTTTACAGAGCCGTGATTGATTTGATAGCTTTACTCATCATTTATACAAATATTTTTATCATTGCAGCGAAAAGTTATTCGATCTTGGCAATATTTTATTTTTTCTTGACTTTAATTTCTAAGACATCATATCCTTTGAATAAAATCTATAGTTATGGTTGAGTTGCAGTGTAATTTATGCACTCCGTAGGTAGCCCATGTGAGCGATCGTTGATCCCCACAAGTACACCGCCAGATTTACTGGTCATATAGAAGTAYAACGACCAGATTCACTGAATGGTCGTTTTCACTTTATAGTACACTATTTGGTAGTTTCACCGAATAGACTGTCGCAATCTTATCATTATATTTTCAATAATTTCCTGATAAATAATATAATTATATGAAAAAATGTGGAAATTATTGCTCGTTCCWAAAAGTGCCTGCATGCTCGGACAACGCAAAATTAATTGTACATTAATAAATTGTGCGATTTTTACTTGATTTAATAAATGTGCTCTTAGCAAACACTTTCAAAATTAACCCTAGGTGTTCTGCTTCTGAGTGATCAACACCTCAACGTGGTGGGGCAGTTAATGCGTGCTTCAGCGACCCCTAGAGAAATGTTGGCTGGAGTTTTATACTCCTGGTAGGGTCACCCATACCGAGCAGGTCGAATTGTAGAAACCTGATTCCCTTTTCCTAAAAACAAAATAACAACAACAACAACAATAACAAAACTTAAAACTTATAAACAAACAAGGAACTGACACTCAACTGACACCAAATTAGCAGACTTCCGATGATTAATGAGATATCCCTTGCTATGATRATGGACATTGATAAATGCATACGCTGGACACAGTGGATATATTTATTCTTCGTTTTTCGTAGCAAGCAAACTGATAATATCATGTRTATGTTGTCACTCGCTGCATCAAATGAAACTAYCACATCCTCGAGGAGGATGGTAAGAAAAATAACAAAAGTACCTCAAATAGAACCTATATAATGTTGTACAACTGTACAAGCCGGCCCCTTTTTGATASAAGTSTTTMCTTCCATGATTGGTCCATTGAATTTGATACAAGTTCACCTTCAAGCTGATTGGCTAATTRACATGCTTACGTCAAGCTGCTGGACTTGCTGATTGGTTATTTGACAGTTTGACGTCAATTGTGATGTWCGGTTTTGGCTGTTTTTTCTTCAATGACARCACCTTCCACAGGGTTCCCGTTMTCTTGYTCCGCCGCCACTCGGTTTAGTTTACGTAAGCATGGGATTCTTCGTAASATTTCCGCTTTGAATTCMCGCATACGGAAAGYATAAACTATAAAATTTGCGAAGGAATTGCCGTAATGTAATAATTTGGTTGTATTCCRCAAAGCATGAAAGRTTGATGTCGTTGGTAACACCCCAGATGTTGCTACATAGATGACGATCGCTTGGTATGGCAGCCATGCTATCAGACTTACAAATGTCACTATACAAAGAGTCACCGTTAGCTTTCTATTGCTTTGTTGTATTGGCTCGTTATTGGGTATGACCGCTGAGTTGCAAGTTATTTCGACAAAGATCATAAAATATGAAACAGAAATGATTGCCAGTGAGGTTGTCAGGGTGATGGCCTTGGCAATTAGGCCAATATGCACCTCTGTGCAACTTAAACCAACAAGAAATGATRACGTCCACACCACCACAGTTCCAAAGATGTACGGTCCTTTACCTAATGTGGAGTGTCTGAATGGAAAGTATGTTGCATGTGCTCGTTCAATGGCCAACGCTGCCAAACCAAATAAAGAGGCTACACCTGAGAAGGCATCAAGAGCGACATWCCAGAAAACGTACKGCGTCAGCAGTCCCTTTTTTGCATCACTCATAGTACCAACGTGAAAAGGGACTRTCAGACCTACAAACAGATCAGCTACAGCCAGGCTGATCATGAGTACATACTGTCGACGTCGCAGACGAGGAGTAATTGTGAATACCACGATGGTGATGAAGTTTCCTGCTACTATGACAACGGCCTCTAGGACATACAGCCAAGAAATGGACCACATTGTTCTGATMGTTGGAAATTTCCCCCAGCGAGCGATAACAGATTTATCTATTTTGCACCTGCCGACACTTCAATTATTTCTTTTTCATAAATCTTTTGTTATAT